AGTTTGTTTATCTCCAGGCCCAAGTACACAGATACAGTGATCAACCACCTTCTGTGTCATCCAGTGCCGTATGACAGGTAACAGAATCTGGTACAGCCTCTGGATTAAATTGGGGTGTGTGGCACAGTTCTGAGTGTTGTGGAACATGGCTGCCCTCAGAAAACTAATGATATTCTTGTAGAGGAGATAAGATATAGACAGATGCTTCCAATATAAATCAGAATATAATGCACAAACATAAGGAAACAATTCAACAAATCCAGAATGAAGAACATTTTACAAAATAGTTGGACTGAACTCTTCAAAAAGGTTAATGTCATTAAAGAAAGAATAGTGCTGGGGGCACTGTTCTAGATAAAAAGACACTAAAGAGGCATAGCCAAATGCAAAATGTGGCTCTGATTGGATCCTGGATGAAAAACAAAAGCTATAAAAGAAAATTTTAAGAAAATTTAAGTATAGACTCTATACTAAATTATTAAATTAATGTAGTTTTCTTAGGTGTGAAATGATAATACGGTTATACAGAGGAATGTCCTTATTTTTAGGAGATAAATACTAAAGTTATTTAGGGATGAATGTCACGATGTCTGCAATGCACTTGAGAAAGATTTAGCCAAAAAATAAATAAATATGTACATAAAAAATAAAGTTTAGGGGCCTGCCCGGTGGCGTAGTGGTTAAGTTCGCACACTCTGCTTCATTCAGCAGCCCTGGGTTCTCAGGTTTGGATCCTGAGCGTGGACCTACACACTGCTCATCAAGCCATGCTGTGGCAGTGTCCCACATACAAAACATAGAGGAAGATTGGCACAGATGTTAACTCAGGAACAGTCTTCCTCACCAAAAAATAAACAAATAAAAAATAAAGTATAAATATATACATAAATGAGAATAGAACCATCGAGAGGAACAAATAAGAAGCTTTTTTTAGCTAGTGGTTTTCAGAGTTGGAGGCACCTTGGAAGTTCCAGGAGATGCCTTATGGGGAAGACAGTGAGTCATGAGGAGAGAGTTCCAGGCCCTCACCCCACTTTAACCAGAGCAGTGCCTCTTTTTACCTGCTTTATATATTGTGATTCTGGGTAATTACTGTATTTGAAGAAAAGATTTCTTAGCTTTAAACTGTTTGAAAACCACTTTCAAAGAATGGTTCTCACTAATGACTTGGTGTAATGCTGATGTTTTTTATAAGCTGAACTTAGTCTACCACTAAATCAAATAAAGGAGGACTTCTACCCACCCAGAGAAAAATATGAGTTAATTTCAATTTTTTAAAAAATATTCTTGCTTTTGTATATTTCTCTAATACATTGTTTTTAAATCTTTACTACATGCTTCAACTTATCTACACTAAATTCTTATACAACGTACATGATTTAGTGCAAAATATTAAATATATCTAGTTATTTTAAGAGTAATTTCAGCATTATTTTATTGTTTGTATTTGTTCTAGCTCTTGGAGGACTTTGAGAACTACTGCTTTAGATCAGATGGGAACTGTGGAATCTATTAGAAATGGAAATGACTTAGTCAGGAAACTTCGTTCTGGTTATATTTTTGGTCATTTGCCTGAAATCCGTTAGTTGGTTTACATACAGACTGGGGTGATTGTTCTTAGGAATCTGTTCGAGGCATCTACTATGTGCAAGATGCTGTTAGGCACTGGGGAAATGACGGACAGGACGTGGACCCTGCACTCAAGCAGCACACAGTCTGGTAGCAGACATAGACGATACCAGAGGATTCCAAAGCAAAATAGGAGAGTTCTGTGGGAGCCCATAGGAGGAGGCTTAACTTAATTAGATGAAAGATTGGGGAGGAATTTCCGAAAGAAGGGCTGCCCCAAGCTGAGTTTTTAGTGTCAATTAGCCAAGTAGATGGTGGGATGGTGGAGTGGAAAAGGCATTCTAGAGAGAAGGAACAGCAAAAATAAATGCAAGGAAAGTATGAAACAGCTTGATGAATGTTCATTCCCAAAGGGATGATGAGCAAACAAAAACCATGTCACATCTACAGAATCAGTATCACTGGAAATGAAACCTGTTCCATATTTTAACAAACTCTCCAGATGATTTTTTCACACTAAAATTTGTGAACCATTGGCTAATAGGCCAATGTGTGTATTTTCCTAATTCAGATGAATTCCCAGCGCACTTACAAATGTACGGCAGACCAAAGCCATTTTTGAAACACTTCTTACACAATAAATAACTTCTCAAAGTACTTCATTTACTCCCTCAGAAATTCAGAGAAAAAAACCAACGTTAGATAAATATAGGGATTTCTTAGTTTCATCCCAGGAATGAATGTTCCTGTTCTACAATCTGTTTCCCCAGCAATGAGCCTTTTCAGCATCCCGCGTTGCCTTTCTGGCTTTCTCTTTAGGAATCCTTTAGGATCTTTTTGCTTGTTTTATTTACAGATTAGAGTCATCAGAATAGGGAATGTAATGTTGGAATAGTTTTAAGCCTCTCAGTTTTTAGAGTGATTCTGATGCAGATAGTTGGCAGACGACAGTTTAAAAACACTGACTCTAGCACACGAGTATACCTAGGTAGATTTAAAAATAAGAGAATGGATTAAATGAATGAGCAACTCACAGTCTTCCTCCTGTAATGCTCCTCGACAATACTTGTATAACTCTCAGGCCCTACCTTTTGAGTCAGTGGTAGAAGAGAAGTTATTACATACTGTCTTTCTTTAAGAAGAGATCTCTTCTGAGGAGGATCAAAGCTTTGTTTCAGGGCTTGACCTTAGCCAAAATTTGAGGACCATAGATTGGATTGAATAAATATGTCTTTGAATGCCTTCTGTGAGCCTGGCATTGTGCTAGGTCCTGAGAGTTCATAAAAGAAAAGCCAGACATAATCCCTGCCTTCAGAGGGAACAGATAGACACACATACAGAGAACTGACAATAGTACGTATAAGATTGAGACAACCTCTATAAAGAAGACATTTTTAAAGTGTCATGGGAACTCTCACAAGTGACATGGTGAAGGAGCAGCAAAGGCTTCACAGAAGAGATGACATTGGAGCTGGATTTTGAAGGATTTTGATGGGTAGAGAGGAGTTTTGGAAAGGGCCTTCCAATTTAAGGAAATGACATAAGCAAAGGTATAGGGTTTTCAAAGTCCATTGTTTGGTAAAAGTGAATAGTCTGGGGTAGCTAGAGCACAGAGTATGTGGTAGGGAAGTTGTGAGGCTGAAAAGGTTGGGTTAGGACCAGTTTGTGAATGGTCTTGTAGTCCATGCTGAGGCAATGGGAACTTGAGTCTATAAAACTTTGGGAATTACTGTTATGAAATCAGATGTAAGTCTTTTGATACTCTGAAGAACTGAGCAGATAGGAAAACCTCTTATAGACTGGATTCTAAACAGACTCTAGGAAGGTTGTGGTCATGGTAGGCCTGTGATAAGCCATTCTCTTGAACCCTCTTCCTCTGGGATTTCTAGGCATCTGGCTGAGTTGTGGAGAACTCTGGAGGTGGAGCTGCCCAGCACAACCTGGATTCTGTGGAGGCTCCTGAGGAAGCTGCAGAAGTGCCATAATGTGCCCACCCAGGAGAAGATGGCCTATGTGGCTGTTGCTGTAAGCCACTGAGCCCCTCCAACTTCAGCCCGCCATGCTCCCCTCCTAGGATGACTGACCCAACGCCCCCTCTGGAGAGTGGTCCTTTAGGTTCCTCTCGAAGTTTGTTTCTGTCATCCATTTATAAATCAATAGCGTGTCTACCAAGGAATTGACGTGGGGGAGCTGGAGAGAGGGAAGGAATCAGTGTGGTTTCGTATGTTTTAACATTCCTTCCCTCATCCTTTAAAAATGTGTATCATCATAGTTAAGAGTAATACAACCTCATGAAACAAAATGTCAAATAATATAGAAAAGTGTAAAATAGAGAGCAAAGGTCCTCCTTGAGCAGAGGTCAGCAAACTTTTTCTGTAAATGACGAGATGGTAAGTATTTTAGGTTTTGCAGGCCACATGTAGTTTTCATCAAATATTCTTTGGATTTTTTCTTATACAATCCTTTAAAAATCTAAAAGCCATTCTTAGCTCATGGCTATACTATCTCTCTGAAAATGAACTTTCTAGAAGTGCTTATACATATATAAAGTTTTTATATATGTATTAGGTATATTTTTTCCCCACTTTTTTCCTTTTAAATAGACTTTATTTTTTAGAGCAGTTTTAGGTTCACAGCAAAATTGAGCAGAAAGTACAGAGAGTTCCTATATACTCCCTGCCCACTATGTGCACGCACAGCATGCCCCCCACTATCAACATATACTTTTTTCCTTTATTTTCTTCCTTACCAGTTTATGGTTCAGCTTCCCCTGGCCTAAGTTATTATCATACTTTTTTTTTAGCTTCCAAAATCATTTTGGCATTTCTAATCTGCTATTGTCTCCTCTTCTATTCTCTCTGTTCTTGTGGGTTTATGCCTTTTTAAAAATCCCTATAATGTCATTTTAGTTCAGTTTTAGGAATTAGGGCAGATAAAGGTATCTATTTAGTCATGTTAGTCTATAAATTGTATATATATATTAATAGGATCATACTATATATATTGTTTGATGACCTGCTTTTTTTCTTTTGACAATATATGAACTACTTTCCATATCAATATACAGGGTTCTCTGTTATCTTTTTCATGGCTGTATAGTAATTTATTTATTTTTAATTACCTTTTTAAAAATGGGTAATACTTACATGGTACAGAACCATTTATTTTACTATCAAGTTTCCTATTAGTGAACATTTTGACAATTTTCAAATTTGTTTTGCCATTAAAACAGTGCTGTAGCAAACTTAATCATGCATACCTAAATTTTGTTATACATACCCAGTTATTCTCTTAGGATAAAGTCTGTTGAAGGAGAATTTCTAGGTCAAGGGGTAGACTTATTTAAACTTTTTATAATGTTCCCAGATGGTCCTCTAGAATGTTGCCCTTCTACCAGTTGTGTGTGAGATGCCCGTTTACCCACACCTTCACCCCACTGAGCATTACCAGTGTTCTCATTCTTGCCTAGCTGATAGGTGAAAAAGGAACATGTTTTAATTATAATTTCGTTATTGGTGAGGTTGAACGTTTGTATATTTTTTGTTTCTTTGTTTTTTTAAATTATTTTATTGAGGTCATATTGGCTTATAACATTGTGTAAATTTCAGGTATACATTATTATATTTCAGTTTCTGTATAGACTGCATCGTGTTCACCACCAATAGTCTGGTTTTTATCCGTCACCATACATATGTCTCCCTTTACCCCTTTTGCCCTCCCTGTATATGTTTTTTTGTTTGTTTTGTGAGGAAGATCAGCCCTGAGCTAACATCCGTGCTAATCCTCCTCTTTTTGCTGAGGAAGACCGGCTCTGAGCTAACATCTATTGCCAATCCTCCTCCTTTTTTTCCCCAGAGCCCCCGTAGATAGTTGTATGTCATAGTTGCACATCCTTCTAGTTGCTGTATGTGGGACGCCGCCCCAGCATGGCCGGACAAGTGGTGCGTCGGTGTGCGCCCGGGATCCAAACCCGGGCCACCAGCAGCAGAGCGCACGCACTTAACCGCTAAGCCACGGGGCCGGCCCCCCTGTATATGTTTTTTAATTGGCCATTTATATTTCTTCTTTTGTGACTTGTCTGTTCATGTCTTATACACCAGTGTTTCTTAATTTTAATGTGCACACAAACCACAATCATCTGTGGATCTAATTGAAATACAGATGCTGATGCAGAAGGTCTGGGGTAGGGGCTTACGAGTCTCCATTTCTAACCAGCTTCCAGGTGATACCAACGCTGCTGGTGTGTGGCCCACACATTGAGTAGCAAGCCTTTACGTTTTTTCTTTACTGATAAGTAAAAGCATTTTATGTATCAAGAATATCACATGGATGTGAATACTTTTCCCGGTTATTTGTCATCTAAATTTGTTTATGATAAATTTTATCCTGGCTTTATATTTGTATGTGGTCAAATATGTTGATAGTTTCCTTTATAGTTTCCTTCTGGATTTCAGGACTCCCCTCACTCTTTGGTAACTTTTAATGACCACTTCACTCCTATTCCTTTTCCCCTCACTCTCATGTCCCGGCACTGACTACCACTTCTGTTCTGCCTATGGGATAGTAGAACCAGAAAGCATGTTCTGGCACAAGCAGAAGTAAAGCAAAAGTAAGGATGAGGGCTAGCAGGTATTCAGTTCTGCTGTGTGTCTTTTCTACCACAGGCAACAGATGCCCTTTATGAGGTGTTTATGGGAAACAGGCTCCGAGCAGCTGCATTCCGACTCTTTCCTCAGCTTCTCATGACACTGCTCATCCAGATTCACCACAGCATCGGCCTCTCCATGTCTGATGTCGCCATCCCAAGTGGCCTGTACACAGAACAGGAAACGTCTTCAGAGGTCACCCCTTTGTGGTATTGCCCCTTGTGATTTCATTGACCTTTTCTAAGCACTGGGCACTGTGGTGGACACAAGAATAGCCAAGATGTGGTCCCAACTGTGGGAGAGTTTACAGTTTGCTACTCTCATGAGACATCAAAATGAAATGCCCATGAATCATTCTGGGCTTTCATTGGTTGTCTTTGTTTTTATTGGTGCGAAGGTAAATATGGCTGTCTGGGTCCAGATGCCCTGCAAAATAATGTGTGATTTCATGCCAGCCCCTTCTTGATAAATCAAGTAGAGACAGAGACAAGCAAAGCAGCCTTAAACCCACCTCCAAAATTGTTCTGATCCACAGTTGAACAATTCCTCATTTCTGCTTTATTGCATGCAGAGGTATTTTTAGTTCCCTATTGGGGTCTCAGTAGAAATTTCTTTTTTTTTTTTTTAAAGATTTTTATTTTTTTATTTATTTTCCCCCCAAAGCCCCAGTAGATAGTTGTATGTCATAGCTGCACATCCTTCTAGTTGCTGTATGTGGGACGCGGCCTCAGCATGGCCAGAGAAGCAGTGCATCAGTGCGCGCCCGGGATCCGAACCCCGGGCCGCCAGCAGCGGAGCGCACTCACTTAACCGCTAAGCCACGGGGACGGCCCACAGTAGAAATTTCTTAGTGTCGCTGTGGCACATGGATTTCTTTCAGAGGAAGTGCTATAATGTGGAATATTTAAGAACACCTAAGAGTCAGGAGAAGTGAGTTCTATTCTCATTCAGTTGATTAGCTGTGTACCCCGGGCAAATCTTTCTGTTGCTCTATGCCTTAGTTTTCTTATCTGTAAATGAGATTGGGCCAGGTGCTCTCCAAGGACCCTTCCAGCTTTAAGATTCTCTAATGTTATGTCCAGCATACTATTCAATAACTAGTTTTAAAAAACAATGGGGGTAAACTTTATGAGGTGTAAATTGTATCTAAATAAACCTTAAAAAAAAGCAGTAGGTATCTGTTTAGCATCCCATATCATTTGTTTTATCATAGATTTCTTTCCAATCTCCCAGGGAAACAAAATCTAGTTATTAGAGCATTAAGAGTCTTTTGGGAAATCTATAAAGAAGAGAATTACAGTCCAGCAGCTATCAGTGCATGGCCTTCCTCAATGAGAGCAGGGCGATTGTGTGCTATATGTTGGAGAGTCCTGTTCTATTCACTTGTACTGTTTTTGTTTGATTTAGCTTCGCCATACAGGCTACAAAGACTCTCCTCCTCAGAACATTGTGCTGGCAGGAATTCAACATCATGGAAAAAAATAAAGGATGGACCCTCCTGGAAGGAAAAGATTGCCATCTTCAGGGAGTATCTCTCCTTGCCAAGTAAGGCTTCCTTGCCATGCATATCTGCTCTAAATCAGCATTGTTTCAAGGTATATTTTTCCCTTTTAGTTGTCACTGCATCCAAAGTTGGATGACCTTCTCATCACAGGGTGGGCAAAGACTCATATGCCAGGCAGATTTTTCAGAGGTCCTGGCCCTGCCATACTCTCCTGTGCACCTGAAGCTGGGCAAAAACTTCAGAGGGCCCCCAGCCCTGGGAACAATTCCCTCTGGATAGGAGCATTTCTAAGAGTTCTTCTGTCGGTGTTCTGTGTTGCAGCGCATTGCTGGAAAGAAGTCACCTCCTTGCACATAAGGTCATGTACTTGTTAGTCCCTCTTCTTAACCGAGGGAACGATAAGCATCAACTCACGTCTGCAGGCTTTTTTGTGGAGGTAAGACTCATTCTGTAGAAGCTGGATTATTCAGGAAGCCTATAAAGCAGTACCACCTGCCTTCCTAGACCCTTTCAGACTTAGTGGCAGGCTGGGATCCCTTTCAGATGCGGGATGGACACGGTTTCAGATTCAAGCCTATTGAAATTCTTCTTTCCACGCATTCATTAGTCAGTGTTCCTTATGTACCTACAGTGTAAGCGTCATCCTGTAATGTACATGCTGTATAGTAGAGGTTTCAAAGGAAATATGTATTTTGGAGTTGGTGGGAAGGTGGCTCCTCTCATGAAGAAGGGCCTAAAGGTAACTTCTTTGGCTGATTTTTGGGTTCTTTCAGCTTCTCCAGAGTCCAGTGGCTAGGAGACTGCCCAGCATATACTCTGTTGCCCGCTTGAGAGACTGGCTACATCATGAAAATAATCTCTTTAAAATTCTTGGCCTGAAGGGACTGAACTATCTTCTCAGACACCAGGAGATGGTAGGAGGGGCCCCCAGACCACTGATTCTTAAGTCATAAATAAAACATACCCCAGAAGGATACCTAAGAAACTGGTAACAGCTGAGGAGGAAAATTGGGTAGCCTGGGAACAGGAGTGGGTAGGAGTACATCCCTTTGTACCTTTTGAATTTTATTCCTAGGAAATTTGCAAGTACTGACTATTAAACATTTAATGAAATTAAAAGAAATAAAAAGTCCAAGTCAATTATATTCATAATATTTGAATCTTGCAGTTTGTGTGGGAGATACCCTCATTATCATCACAGCCTGGGCAACATTCGAGTGTCCTTTCATGCCTTGTACCATGTTGCTGTATGGCTAAATTGCATAGGCCTTTGTATCTGCTTCCAAGATGCTTATCATGTAAGACAAAGATCACTGACATTCAAATTGGAAGCTCGTTTTCCACAGGCCTACCTAGAAACTAAGCCTAGGTCAGAAGAGAAGATTAACCCCTGAGGCTTCCATTTTATCACTTGAGTTCTATTTCTTTTATGTAAAAAATATATATACATATCTGTGAAACAAAAATGACAAATGTTAACATGTTAATCCTGGTTGATTGGATACAGGAATATTTGTTGCCTTATTCTATTTACTTTTTACGTGGATGTTTTAAACTTTAAAACCCTGAGACTGCTTCCTTTTGGGGGTTTCAGAAGAGCAGAATCCCAGTTCAGAATGAGAAGGACCCTAAGGGGCCCTCAGTCAATTTCTGCTTGAATTCCTGCAAGGAATCTTTTAGCCTTTGGAGACCTTCCATGTTGGAGAGCTCACTGTGACCTGAGCTAGCCATTCCACTTTCTCTCATTGTTAGGAGAGCAGTTCCTTACATTAAGTCCAAGTCCATGTTGCTGGACCATCCCCACGTAGTCCCACTTCTGCCCTGTGAGGCAACTCACAACAGTTTGCTCCCTTCTCTACATATCAGCCCTGCTGATACTGAGAAAGGGCAATCATGCCCTCTTTACTTCTTCTCTGTTCTTGACTAGCCAGCACCGCCAAAAATTCCACAAGCACCAGGTACCCAGTAAAGGTAGGGAGCCTCACTTTGGTACCAGATGAAGTGCTATCAGGGGAGGTGGTAATGCGCTCCCTTTGGGCACACAGAGGGAAGACATCAAAAGCCTGTTGCCGAGCATCTTAGACCTCTTACTTGAAACCGATGAGAAGATTATTTTGTTGGCCGTTCAAATACTCCTGCAACTTGTCGGGACAATGGAATTCACCACCCTGACTGCCATGATGAGGACCCTGTTCTCCTTATTTGGTGATGTAAGACAATGAGAGAGGAGAGACTTGCCTAGGGGGAGGGTAATTGGCATAATAGCAAATAGAAGTTGGGCTTGTAATAAATACACTATTTTATATAGTACTTTTTATGTTCAAATCTCCTCTCTTAAGATCCTTCCAGATAACCTGTGATGTTGGTAGGGCTGGTCTTGATGTTTTTCAGATAAAACTGAGACATAGAGACTTGGCAGGGTACTTTCCTGCTTCGTGGGATGGGAAAGGAGTTTGTATAAGAAAAAACTTTGTCTTTCCTTTCAAGGAACAATGAGGACTGAGTCAAGATGGCGGACTATACATATGCCCCCATCTCAAATCCCAAAGATTGTTTAAAGAGAAAAACATGGAGCACAGAGAACCACATCCATGGAAGAGTCAAATATGCCAAGGCTGGGATTTTCAATTTCAGCAAAACAGCTTATGTGAATGGTTAATACCAGTATCAGGCACAAGCCACTACAGGTGGGACTGTGCCCATTTCTTACCTGTAGAGTGAGAGAACAACAAGTAGTGCAAAGCAGCAGGTCTTGCTGTTTCCACATACATTTGGTTTCTTGCCCTCAGCTACCTACAGCTAAATAGCCTCATGTTAGGACTAGCGTTTCAACTGACCTAGAGCTCTTATAAGCTAAGCACAAAAACTTTCAGTGAGTTGCTTCCCTTTGGATACTCCCTTCATAGGTGAGACCTGATGTTCATCGTTTCTCCATGACCCTCTTTGGAGCCTCCATAAAGTCTGTGAAATACACAGATAAGAAGGGTGTAGAGAACCAAGTCCTGGACAGCTTGGTCCCACTACTTCTGTATTCTCAGGATGAAAACGATGCAGTAGCTGAGGTAATGCCTACTGTAAACGTCTTTCGGCTTGAATAACTTCAAATCCAGAGCCAAATCTCCAAATAAGTGTTCATATCTTTGAGGGCAGGGACTTCGTGGTACCATCTTTATTTCCCATTTCCTCTGGCACAGGCTACCTTTCAATTATTTTTCCCAAGTGAATTGTGGAAAAAATCTTACGCCTCATTTTCATATAGCAAATTATGGCCCTTCGTGGGTAAGAATGATGTGTTATACCTTTTTGTAGCCGCAGCCCAATATTCAGCCCAACAGAGAGTCCTAAATACAGCGCCCATTCAACAAACTCTTTTTGTTGATGTCAATGATGATATTCTATTATCTTTCTTCTTTCACTCAAGAACTGCCTCATGGTCTTGAGGCAAATAGACTTATGTTGAGGCTAAGTCAGAAATAGTAGCTTCTCTGACTATCTGGAGAAGCCTTTACCTCTCCTTAATCTTCCAGGGGTTTCTGCCTTAAGAGTTGTGGGTGGGATGTCATCATCTTTAGTACTGTCCCTCAGACTGTCCTTTAGACTGTCCCTCACACCTCAGAAGCCTGTCCATTTCAAGGTGCTAACTATGACCACCAGTTACAGCAAACCAGAGAGGTAGGTTTAGGCTGCAAGGATTCTGGAAAAATGCTGGAGCTCTCACCTATCTATCCTCCCTCTTACAGAAATGAAAGCAGGTTCAGAAACAGGATTTAAGATTATGGTGGGCCTTGGCACCTTGTTATGGGGGAATTTTTATGGCCTTGTAGCCATAAATATGGAATATTTCAGATCCCAATAAAGTATAGAGCAGAGCTTCCCAACAAAGTGATGGGAAAGTATGTCCTGTAGGGGTCACAGATATGTGGAGGTATTGATACCCACCCACCTCCTGCTCCCGCCAGCCTTTGGCAATCATGCAAGGCATAGAGCAGCTGAGGCTCTGGGCTTATTTTCCTTCAAACCTTGAACAACCTCTAGCTACCTCTTAAAGGCTCCTCAGAGGGTAGCCTAAGCAGAGAGGAGGGATCTAACATTAAACAGGTTAGGAATCACTGACAGAGAACACCCATCTATCTACCACCCACTCTAAGAACTAAAAAAGGAGTAAATCATGCACCTGTTCCCAATTGAATTCCCCCAAGAACTACCATCCTGAATTTTGTGTTTATCATGTCTGTGGTAATATTTTTCATGTTTTAAAACTTTATATGTTGTATTATTTATAAATCTTTCAGCAACTTGCTTTTTTGTTGTTGTTGTTTAACATTATATTTGTAAGATTTATCCATGATGTATAGCTCTAGTTCATTTGTTTTCACTGCTATAGAGAATTCCATCATGTGAATATCCTACAATTTATTCCATTTTCCTATTTCTGGACATTTGGATTATTTTCAATTTTTCATTATTACAATGCTGCAATGAGTATTGTACATAGTTTTTGTGTGTGTACATGTGTGAGAGTTTCTTGAGGGCATAAACCCAGAAGTGGAATATCTGGGTATCTTTAACTTTACTAGATACTTACAAATTGTTAAACAAAGTAGCTTAACTAATTTGTGTTCCCATAAATTCTCAAAGGAATTTTAATGGCCCAAATATCTAGTGGATCTGGGACAAAACACTTGCTTGAAGACTCATCAGAAGTGTTGTATGGTGTATGGAAGGCATTCTGAGAACAGTGAAATGAATAGTGAAGAGGCCCACTTGCTAAATTTTGCTCAAGTATCTGGATCAGGAAAGGATCAATACTCTCCAGAGTTCCCTCCAAGCCAGAGATTCTACAAGGACTGTGAGAAGAGGAGCTACACTTCCCTGTGTGGAGTGACAGAAAATTGACATAGGAGCAGCAAGTGGGCATAGGAGCCCTGTCTCTCGGGCATGGGGTAGTGGGAACTCCTGCCCACATCTCTGGGCTGGGTACTACACCTGGTAGCTCTCACTTTTGCCCTAGACTGGTGGTTCTCCATCCTCCCCAGAACCCCGCAGGTTTTATGAGTTCCCTTTAGAGATGGTTTGGGGAAGTTGAAGGAGGGCAGGATTCTGATTCCTTTCCACTCCTCCCCTCACTTCACCCAGGGTAATTCTGAGTTCATCAGCTTTTCGTATTGGACTTTAGTATCACTTTCATTTGAAGTAAAGTTATTTCAGCTAAAAAATGTTATAAAATGCTGATCTCTGATAATCCTTTTCACAGGAAAGCAGGCGAGTCCTAACTATATGTGCCCAGTTCCTGAAGTGGAAGCTGCCCCAAGAAGTGTACTGCAAAGATCCCTGGTACATCAGCCCTAGTGAAGTTGGAACAGTCTGCAAATTCTTTGTATGTGAGCAATAATGGCTTTTTTAACTCCTTAATATGCTGACATATTTATTTTGTTCAGACATAGTTTTTAATGGAGGAACATGACATGAAACATTTCCCATCCCTTTTTACAACAGCAGTTAATATCTATGAACTGTCTTGTACTGTGAATCTATTTTTCTAGTTTCTTCTCAACTGGGTCACAAATTCACTTCATGTTACCACCGTTCCTCAAAAAAAAGACTGGTGAACTCTTGGGAGCCCCACTAACCTGGGTCAGAGGCTACAGGGTCAGGCTGATAGAACATGCTCAAAAAACGACTTGTGGAGTGAGTTGAAATGGAGTTATGTATTGCCTTTACAATGATCTCTAATCCTTTCCTTGGATATAGTGGATTGTTTTACCCTCCATCAGAGCATGTTCAGGGAGCCCCACACAACGGCTGCCGTGCTGTTGTAGGCCATGCAGCATGACGGCAGCATACCACTGGCTCTGCCTGGACCCAGATGGCATCCTTTCTCTTCAAAAATTTGACAAAGGCTACTGTGGCTGATATTAGGGCAGGCTTGAGCCAGGGAAGCCTCAGGATGCCCATCCATGGTTTTCTAGACAACTAAGTCTAGAACCACTGGGATCCTACTATGAACACCCTAGGTCTGACTATTCCCAGGGATCTTCCACATGTGTAGTCTCTTTAGGACTCATTATGGGCTCCTCCAATCAGATTTACAGGGCTAAGAAGCCCCACAGTGCCCTTGCATCAGGCTTTCCACTGGGGATTATCTCTCTGACCTATAGCCAAACCTATAGCTGATGCACTGATGACAGTATTTACAGCAGGAAATTCAGTGCTCTCAACAGATAAGACTACAGATTGTCCATGTTAAATCATAAGTTCTGTGAGAACAAATTCCTACTCTCCTCCTATCTCTAAGGTGCCTATCATTGTAGGAAATCCATTGAGAGGTGAATTCATTCATCCAATAAGCATAACACATCCAGTGTGCAATAGGCCATGGAGAAACCAGAAACGTGCCAAAGATTAAAACTTCCTAAGGGGAGTTTTGTGCAAGTTAGTAAGGGAGATAAAAGATAAAACCTCTGAGGAACATTAAATAGAAACTCAAGGTGGAAAATTATATGTGCCAAGAGAGGAGCACCTGTAAAACACTCAGAACAGGTTTAGATCAGGAAGGCAAGAGCTGTCAGGGAAGAGCTCACAGGGAGGCAGAGCTCAAGATGGGTACAGAGAACAGAGAAGACTTAGATACAGAGAAGTGAAGACGGATTGAGAGGTGTTACTGGCACAATATGCAGCATGAGTTGGTGTGAACAAGGTGTATTCAGAGGATTTAACTTTGTCTAGGGGCTTGTTATTGTGAATATATAATATTAATTGAGCAACTGTAGTTATTTCAAGCACTGTATATGTATATCTGACATAGTCACTGACTCTGGAACTATAGTGAGGCTGATAAAAATAGTGCTGCTACTTCACTCCTTTATACTCTTACTTTTTTCCCCACTTAGGGAAAAAAATGCAAGGGGAAAGTTAACATCCTAGCCCAAACATTGATGTTCTCCAAGAATGCAAAACTTCCTATCAGAAGAACAGCAGTCTTGTTTGTAGGTACAAAGAAAATCCTTTCATTTCTACGTTCACTTTTATCCTGTACTTTCCTAAATTGTGTTGTTGAGTATCCCCGTTCTTTATGAAGATGACGTTGAAAATACTTCTTTGGAGAAAGGGGCTGTGTTGTCTATAGGTAACTATCGGGCACTTGGAAGTCCAATTTTTAGAATCTGTCTAATTATCAAAAGGCCAGTTCTGCCAACTGCTTAGAGCCAAAGCCAGATCACAGACTTCCTGACTTTCTCCTGCATTTAGGGCTCTTATCAAAGTACATGGATCACAGTGAGCTCAGGACGAAGGGTACTGGCTAGATAGAAGATGGTAAGTGATAACACACTTGGGTTGGGGTGCCCCATATTTTGGAAGGTATCTGAGGCAGTGACTGTGGGCAGGTTTTGGGGCAGAGCTGAGACTCTGGGAACCAGAAAACCTGACCATTGTGATAATAAAGCTCTTAGAGACTTTAGCTGAATGACAGTCTTATCCCAGTCCAATTCCCTCTTTAGGAAAGGACATGATCCTGTTTGTCTGGAAATCAGCTTTTTATTTATTTATTTATTTTTTTTGTGAGGAAGATCAGCCCTGAGCTAACATCCATGCTAATCCTCCTCTTTTTGCTGAGGAAGACCAGCTCTGAGATAACATCTATTGCCAGTCCTCCTCCTTTTTTTTCCCCATAGCCCCAGTAGATAGTTGTATGTCATAGTTGCACATCCTTCCAGTTGCTGTATGTGGGACGTGGCCTCCGCATGGCTGGAGAAGCGGTGCACTTAACCGCTAAGCCACGGGGCTGGCCCTGGAAATCAGCTTTGATGAGTGTCTCAGAGACAATTCCTGAACTTTGTCTGTCAGGAAATAAGACATTAGCTAGAAATAGTATCTTAGTAAATTATGATGACACCTCTCAAGTACCCCACAGATGACTGCAGCACTATTTTCTATAAGCAGTTGTCGTGTAAGCTGGTAGGACTTGATAATAGAGATGTTTTACAGTCGTGTAAGGCAACCATCATGCAATTGGTTTTCTGAATTGTCAGTGAGTGAAAATTTTCTATAATTGTACAACTTTGAGGATTTAGTACTCAATTATTTACTCCCACTTAAGAAGTAGTCCTACAATTAGAAAATGCCATGAAATGCTAAATCTCACAATCCGAAAGCATGTACTTTGAGAACCAAATTAAAATCGTGAATAATTCACTGCTTTTAAATTAAAAATACATAACTGGTTAAATAGCCAGAAGCTAAAGCTTATTTAAGAAAGATCATGCCACTTTTCTCTAAGGTCTCCTACTTCTCCACAGATATCAGAAGCAAGAAAAATAGGAAAAGTCATGTAGATTATTTTATTCTATGAGGTAGGATTCTACATGGTTGATTCTATTCAATTAAAAGGAAATTATTATATAATCTAAAACACTGGGGAACCAAAGTTCCTTTTCTATTCTGAAGTTATCTATATAGAAGATCTAGAATATGT